TGTTTAATAAATTTTCGAGTTTATAGTTATTCAATTTTTCGATTTTGTAATTTTCCAATTTTTCAATTTTTTGATTTTTAATTGTTCAAAATTTCAAATTTAACTTTTCGAGTTTTTGATTTTTCAATTTTGCATTTTTACAATTTTTGAATGTCTCAATTATTCGGTTTTTATTAATCAGTTTCTCAATTTTTGAGTTTTCAATTATTGGAATTTCATTGTTTTGATTTTCCGATTTTTTGATTTTTAATTTATCAAAATTTGGATTTTCAATTTTTCAATTTTTAAGTTTTCAATTTCATAATTTCGCAAGTGTTTGATTTTTAAATTTTGGTAATTTTTTATTTTACAGTTATCTGATTTTTTCATTTTTCGATATTAACATTATTCCATTTACAATTTTATATCTGGGCCATTTTTTAAATTTACATTTTAATAATTTTCCGATTTTTTAATTATCCGAATTTCATTGCTCTGATTTTTTGATTTTTAATTTTCCAATATAACCAATAACGCCTTTATTAGAAATTTGATTTTTAATAGTTTTACTTTTTTGTTAATAAAGGTGTCCGATTTTGCAATTTTCTATTTTTGTGATTTTTAATATTTCAAAATTTCGGTTTCCAATTTTCGAGTTTTTGATTTTTCAATTTCATAATTTTGCAATTTTTTACTTTACAACTTTTTAATTTTCCAATTTTTCTCTTTCAAAATTATACATTTTTCAGTTTGTAATTTTGCATTTTTTTATTTTTGAGCTTTATATTTTTAGGGTTTTTCGTACTGTCAATTTTTGTCAGTTTTTGAATTTTCGATTTTTCGATAATCAGATTTTCCAAATTCTCAATTTTTCGGTTTTTCATTTTGTAATGTAATAACTTTGAAATTTTTCATTTTTTCTGTTTAATAAATTTATTTATCAGTTTCTTAATTTTACTCTTTGTGATTTTCAATTTTGCATATTCAACATTATTGAATGTCTTCATTATTCGGTTTTTACTAATCAATTTCTCAATTTTTGATTTTTAATGGTTTAAAGTTTTTAATTTTTCAGTTTATTTTACAATTTTTTCTTAATAAAGGTGTCCGATTTTGAAATTTTCTAATTCTGTCATTTTTAATATTTCAAAATTTCGGTTTCCAATTATCCGAATTTTAGATTTTTCAATTTCATTATTTTGCAGTTTTTTACTTTACAATTTTCTCATTTTTCAATTTTTCGGTTTCAAAATTATACATTTTCAGTTTGTAATTTAGATTTTTTTTTATTTTTGAGTTTTATATTTCACAATTTTTCGTTGTGTCAATTTTTGTCAGTTTTTAATGAATCAGTTTTTAAATTTTCGATTTTTCGATGATCAGATTCTCCAAATTCTCAATTGTTCAATTTTTCGGTTTTTCAATTTGTAATTTAATAACATTGAAATTTTTCATTTTTGCTGTTTAATATATTTTCGAGGTTAGTTTCGATTTTGTAATCGTCTAATTTTTTAATTTTTCGATTTCTAATTGTTCAAAAGTAAATTTTTGAGTTCAAATATTTTACAATTTTTAGTTTTTGAAGGTAGCCGATTTGTCAGTTTCTTAATTTTACCATTTTTGGATATCTTAATTATTCGGTTTTTATTAATCAATTTCTCAATTTTTGATTTTTCAATTATTCAATTTTTATTGTTTTGATTTTTCGATTTTTTGATTTTTAATTTATCAACATTTCGATTTTCAATTTTTCAATTTCTTGATTTCGCAATTTCTTGATTCTTAAATTTCATTAGTGTTTTATTTTACAATTATCTGATTTTTCAATTTTTCGATTTTAAAATTATCGATTTACAATTTTATATTTTTACCATTTGTTAAATTTACGGTTTAGTAATTTTTCGATTTTACATTTTTAACTTTATAATTCTGTTTTTTTTTTAAATTTGCCATTTTTTCAGTTGTTAAGTTTTTGATTTTTCAATTATCCCAATTTCATTGTACTGATTTTCCAATTTTCTGATTTTTAATTTTTGAAAATTTTGATTTTTTATTTTTCAATTTTTTAGTTTTGAAATTTTCAAATTTTGTAATTTTCCTATTTTACAAATGTCTGATTTTTCAATTTCAAAATTATACGATTTTTCCGTTTGAAATTTTGAGTTTTCTATTTTTTAGTAATCAGATTTTCAAATTCTCAGATTTTTCAATTTTTGCATTTTCGATTTCTCATGTTTTAAATTAATAACTTTGCAATTTTTTAATTTTACTGTTTAATAAATTTTAGTTATTCGATTTTTCGATTTTGTAATTTTCCAGTGTTTGATTCTCCAATATTTCAATTTTAACTTTTCAAGTTTTTAATTTTTGGTTCAAATATTTTACAATTTTTCGTTTTTGAAGGTAGCCGATTTGTTAGTTTCTTAATTTTACCATTTTTGGATGTCTTAATTATTCGGCTTTTATTAATCAATTTCTCAATTTTTGATTTTTCAATTATTCAATTTTTATTATTTTTGATTTTTCGATTTTTTGATTTTTAATTTATCAAAATTTCGATTTTCAATTTTTCAATTTCTTGATTTCGCAATTTCTTGATTCTTAAATTTTATTAGTGCTTTAATTTACAATTATCTGATTTTTCAATTTTTCGATTTTAAAATTATCGATTTACAATTTTATATTTCTACCATTTGTTAAATTTACGGTTTAGTAATTTTTCGATTTTACATGTTTAACTTTATAATTCTGTTTTTTTTTTTAATTTGCCATTTTTTCGGTTGTTCAGTTTTTGATTTTTCAATTATCCCAATTTCATTGTACTGATTTTCCAATTTTCTGATTTTTAATTTTTGAAAATTTGGATTTTTAATGTTTCAATTTTATAGTTTTGAAATTTTTAAATTTTGTAATTTTCTTATTTTACAAATGTCTGATATTTCAATTTTAAAATTATACGATTTTTCCGTTTGAAATTTTGAGTTTTCTATTTTTTAGTAATCGGATTTTCAAATTCTCAGATTTTTCAATTTTTGCATTTTTCGATTTCTCATGTTTTAAATTAATAACTTTGCAATTTTTTAATTTTACTGTTTAATAAATTTTATAGTTATTCGATTTTTCGATTTTATAATTTTCCAGTGTTTGATTCTCCAAAATTTCAATTTTAACTTTTCAAGTTTTTAATTTTTTGGTTCAAATATTTTACAATTTTTCGTTTTTAAAGGTACCCGATTTATCAGTTTCTCGATTTTACATTTTGTGATTTTTCAGTTTTGTATTCTAAGAATTTTGGATGTCTCAATTATTCGGTTATTATTAATCAGTTTCTCAATTTTTGAGTTTTCAATTATTCGAATTTCATTGTTTTGATTTTCCGATTTTTTGATTTTTAATTTATCAAAATTTGGATTTTCAATTTTTCAAGTTTTTGAGTTCTCAATTTCATAATTTCGCAAGTTTTTGATTTTTAAATTTTGTTAATTTTTATTTTACAGTTATCTGATTTTTTAATTTTTCGATATTAACATTATTCCATGTGCAATTTGATATCTGGGCCATTTTTTAAATTTACATTTTAATAATTTTCCGATTTTTCAATTATCCGAATTTCATTGCTCTGATTTTTTGATTTTTAATTTTTCAAAATTTCAGTTTTATAGTTTTGCAATTGTTCAATTTGAAAATTATTAGACTTTCAATTTTATGTTTATGCAATGTTTCAGTTGAAAATTTTAAAAATTTTTCGATTTTACAAACATCTAATTTTTCATTTTTGTAATTTTTCAATTAATTTTTTGACTTTTCAGTTTTATATTTTTACATTTTCAATTGTCAGCTTATCCAAGTTTCTAAATCTTTCGATTTTCAACTTTTCGCTCGTAGACAAACACAAAAATATTATAGGGCGTTAAAGCTCACTTATAGCCTATAATTTAGTTTCTTACACTGTTGCTAGAATTGTCTATTTTTGTTCCAATTTATAGAGGTTATCATAAACAAAAGTTCTCAAAATCAGATTTTACAATTTTTCAAAGAAGCAAAATTTGTTCGGCTGTACGCTGTACGTCAAAGCCGAGGGAAGTCCTCTCGAAATAACCTTCCTACAGTGGCCTCAAACAATTTAACCTTACATCGAATTCAAATAATTATATAATACATTTAGTTAAATTTAGTATTTTCTGTAATGTTGTGCACGATGATCAAAATCGAGCGGGGAAGGTTTTTTTCGAAGGTTAGATAAGTAATAAAAATCGCAATTTGCACGTTTAAAACAAAAAGAAAATGTATTTACAAAATTTAAAATATATTACGTACATATTTCCCGTACATTTGAATAAAATCAATGTTTCTTCTTCGCTGATAGCTAATATCATGGTCACTGCCATCGTCATCACCATTGTTTATACCTGTAATCTACGTTTGTGCCGGGAGGGTACAGAGGCTTTTCCAATGTGATAATCTTCTGATTACTTGCACCTATAGAAGTGGCAAAGTATACATTTTAACAAACATTTATTCTATAAATCATACTATAAATTAAACTTATTAAAATTTTAAAGAAAACTTAAGAGCCCAATTCCCTGGAAAAAGCTCATTAACATTAATTTTAAATCAGTGCAGTCACTTTGTTTCTCTCGCCACGTATCAGTTAGCTTATTATTTATGTATACCTAGTATTGCACAGGTTAGTTTCATTACTTGACAGTTACAACACGTGAATCCTAGGGTGCCATGTTTATTTATAACGTGGACTTGAACCATTTCAACACCAATTACACACGATAGTCTTATTACGTTTGAGTATTTTTTGAAATGAGCCTCAAGTAATATTGTGGTTTAATTATTTCAAGAAAATCCAACTTACCGTTGCCGAGATATTCAACTGCTTCCATACTTTTTAGCAACCCTGTATGTATATCAACTTAAACTTTGAATTTGAACTGCAAAATTGGTAATTCCAGACATAAAAATCATATAATTATTTGAACAAACAATTTATTAAGATAACAATTAAGACTTCAAGAGAATCCTTCTTGTGGTAAGCAGTACTGCATCCACGATGGCGTCGGTACCGTTGTCCAGTACGGTACGATCGAGCTAGGCTGGCTGTTGGTACTCCCTGACATGGTCTGTGGAGGTGGAAGCACCGTCTGCTGCTGACTGGAGAAGTTGAAGTCCAGGTTCCCGTCCACGCTCAGTTCGTACTTAATCAGATCTTCGACGTTGCAGTCCAGACCGCCTTGTAACGACTCCACGTTTATGTTCAGGTCATTCACGACCGGAATTTGTTCATGGGGTGTATGGACGCTGATGTTCCCCACGTAGGCGTCTGGTTGGAGTTTAAAACCTTGTTCTAGACTCGCTGCAAGCTGATTAACTGAATAGTTACCCGGAATTCCTGACCTATAGTTAGCCGAATTGAACTGCCAAGCGGAAGTCCAATCGGGCTCAACACCTACGACCGCTGGTATGGGCGACAACCGGCCACAAGAAGACGCGTTTGACCAAGCTCGACGCTTGAAGTCCGGCCACAAATCCACACTTTGTGTGACAGCCGACCTAGGTCTAGGAGTGATCTCAGAAAGGGCGCCTTTTCTCAAAAGTTCGACCCTCTTCATCACCCGCGCTCTCCCACTTTCGAATTTCCCGGTTTCCATCGAAGCTGCCCTTCTCCGTACCGATTTTCCAGGTGTGGGGTCCGGATTGACCATCCACCAGGAGGATCTTCCAGTTTCTTCGTTGTGGACGCGCATGAAGCGTTTGTGTAGAGACAGATTATGCCGAATCGAGTTTTTCCATCCCGCCGAGCTGTTCTTGTCGCTTTTTTCCTTGAAATAGGGCACGTTCTGCACCATCCAGTCGTAGATTTGGGAGAGCGTCAGCCGCTGGTTCGGTGACGAGGTGATCGCCTGGGTTATCAGGTCCGCGTAGGACAGGTTGCCGCAGACGTTGCGGCGGTTCGAGTTCTTCATGGCGGGGGCGGCGGGCGTGCACTTGGTGCCGTCCTCACCGGGGTCCACGTTGATCACGGGCCGCGACATCGGCCAGGTGTTCGAGCGCAGGCGGGGTTGGGGCTCAAAGTCCTCGAGCTCGGCTGGGGCGTCCTCGAACATTTCGTTCCTGAAAATAAGTATTTGAACATATTCAGAAAATCAGTTTCACACAGCTTAGTACAGGAAGATTGATTTTAGTTAAAATCTGATCATGAAATATTTGAAGCATTAGTAGTAAGTTAGTATCGCTTATAATCTTACCTTTCGTATGTAACTGTTCTCTAAATTGGTCCAGCTCCATTAGCTTCCATTGTCTTCTCAAAAGTTCGCACTTGTCTTCACCGATGATCATGTAACTATAAATATTACAAAAATTGATTTCTAACGTGCCCTAAAGAAGCTCGTACCGACTTGGAGCTAGGCTAGCGTTTTCTGATATTTATAAACAAGAATACACCAAAATCGAAAAAGTGGGGTGGTTTAAGTCTGCCAAATTTCTCTTCATAGAAAATCATGAGTAAGCCGCTTAGGATTATGTTAATGATAAAGATTTACAGCCCTGAAGAAGAAGAAGAACAAAGATATGCATGAATTATTTTAGCTTATATATATTACAATTGTCAATGAGGTTCGACTCGGACAATCAACTCAAATGAAGACAGGAGTTATAAATCATTACCATCCCGGGGCCAGAAAGTCATTATCCTCTACTTTTCGAACTCTATTTTACCAGTAGTGAGAGCAAAACAGTTATGAAGCAAACAAATTTCGTAGTAAATCGCATTATTTACTGATTTGTCATGATTTCAAAATTCATATTTATTAAAACTGCTTATATCAGAAAGTGTAAAACCCTTCAACTCCAACTTTCAGGTAGTCCCCACGCCCGACCCTAATTATCAGTGGTGGTCGAACTGACCGGATGTTCTAATCCGTTGATTTATGACTAAAGGAATTAAGTCTGTTTGGTGGGGGAACTGACAAAGTCCGATAATTTTGCTATTTTTCGATTTTTAACTTTTGTAATTTTTCAATTTTATATTTTAACAATTTTTCGATTTCTCTGTCCAGTTTTTAATGAATCTGGTTTTCATTCTTTTTTTTAATTTATCAGACTTTCCAATTACTCGATTTTTGAATTTTTCATTTTTCAGTTCGAATTTTCAATTTAATAATTTTGCTTAATTTGTTTTAAGTTTTGGATTTTTTAGTTTATTTTACAATTTTTCGTTTATAAAAGTGTCCGATTTTGCAATTTTTGATTTTTCAGTTAACCTATTTCATTGTTTTGATTTTCTAATTCTGTGATTTTTGAAGGATACGGTTTTTCAGTTTTATATTTTAACAATTTTTTGATTTCTCAATCGTCCAGGTTTTATTGAATCGGTTTTTCAATTTTTCATTTTTCAATTATCAGATTTTCCAATTTCTCGATTTATTTCGAATTTGCAATTTTTCGATTTTTTTTCAGTTGTTCGGATTTTCAATTTAATAATTTGACAGTTTTTCATTTTTACAGTTTAATATATTTCGATTCTACACTATCCAATTTTTCAATTTTGTAATTTTACAAATATTTCGTTATTTGATTTTTAATAGTTTTACTTTTTCGTTAATAAAGGTGTCCGATTTTGCAATCTTTTATTTCTGTGATTTTTAATATTTCAAAATTTCTGTTTCCAATTGTCCAAGTTTTTGATTTTTCAATTTCGTTATTTTGTAATTTTTTACTTTACAATTTTTTGATTTTTGAATTTTTCTGTTTCAAAATTATACATTTTTCAGTTTGTAATTTTGCATTTTTTTTATTTTTGAGTTTTATATTTTACAATTTTTCGTTGTGTCAATTTTTGTCAGTTTTTAATGAATCAGTGTTTAAATTTGAGATTTTTCGATGATCAGATTTTCCAAATTCTCACTTTTTCAATTTTTCGATTTTTCATTTTGTAATTTAATAACTTTGAAATTTTTCATTTTTAGTGTTTAATAAATTTTCGAATTTAGTTTCGATTTTGTTTTTTCTAATTTTTCAATTTTTTGATTTTTAATTGTTCAAAAGTTAAGTTTTCAGTTTCAATATTTTACAGTTTTTCAGTATTATCTTGATTTATCAGTTTATTAATTTTACCATTTTTGGATGTCTTAATTATTCGGTTTTTATTAATCAATTTCTCAATTTTTGATTTTTCAGTTACCGAATTTCATTGTTTTGATTTTTCGATTTCTTGATTTTTAATTTATCAAAATTTCGATTTTCAATTTTTCAATTTCTTGGTTCTTAAATTTTATTAGTGCTCTATTTTACAATTATCTGATTTTTTAATTTTTCGATTTTAAAATTATCGATTTACAATTTTATATGTTTATTAAATTTGTTAAATTTACGGTTTAATAATTGTTCGATTTTACATTTTTAACTTTATATTTCTGTTTTTTTAAATTTGCCATTCTTTCAGTTGTTCAGTTTTTCATTTTTCAATTATCCCAATTTCATTGTACTGATTTTCCAATTTTCTGATTTTTAATTTTTGAAAATTTCGATTTTCAATTTTTCAATTTTATAGTTTTGAAATTTTTCAATTTTGTATTTTTCTATTTTACAAATGTCTGATTATTCAATTTTAAAATTATACGATTTTTCAGTTTGTAATTTTTAGTTTTCTATTTTTTAGTAATCAGATTTTCAAATTCTCAGATTTTTCAATTTTTCGATTTCTCATGTTTTAAATTTTAAATTAATAACTTTGCAATTTTTTAATTTTACTGTGTAATAAATTTTCGGTTTATAGTAATTCGATTTTTCGATTTTATAATTTTCCAAATTTCCAGTGTTTTGATTCTTCAAAATTTCAATTTTAACTTTTCAAGTTTTTAATTTTTTGGTTCAAATATTTTACAATTTTTCATTTTGAAAGGTACCTGATTTATCAGTTTCTCGATTTTACACTTTGTGATTTTTCAATTTTGTATTTTAAGAATTTTTGGATCTATCAATTATTCGGTTTTGATTCTTCCATTATTCGAATTTAATTATCTTCATTTTCCATTTTTTTGATTTTTAATTTATCAAAATTTCTATTTTCAATCTTTCAAGTTTTTAAGTTTTCACTTTTGTTGCTTTTATATTTTTATTATTATTATATATATTATATGCTATTTTATATTTTCAATTGTTCAGTTTTTGATTTTTCAATTATCCGAATTTCATTGTTCTGATGTCCCAATTTTCAGATTTTTAATTTTTCAAAATTTCAGTTTTCAATTTTTCAATTTTAAAGTTGTACCATTTTTCAGTTTGTAATTTTTTCATTTTTCACTTTTATATTTTTATCATTTTTCAATTTGTCAATCGTCCAGTTTTTAATGAATCAGCTTTAGGATTTTCTATTTTTCAATAATCAAATTTCCCAAGTTCTCAATTTTTTAATTTTTCATTTTTCGATTTTTCATGTTTTAATTTAATAATTTTGCATTTTTTTTTATTTTTACTGTTTAATAAATTTTCGAGTATATCGTTAATATCGAATTTCCGTTTTTGTAATTTTCCCATTTTTCAATTTTTTTATTTTTAATTGTTCAAAATTTCAATTTAAACTTTTCAAGTTTTTCATTTTTCAGTTTAAATATTTTACAATTTTTCGTTTTTCCACTTTGTGATTTTTCAATTTTGCATTTTTACAATTTTTGGATGTCTCAATTATTCGGTTTTTATTAATCAGTTTCTCAATTTTTAATTGTTCAATTACTCGAATTTCATTGTTTTGATTTTCCGATATTTTGATTTTTAATTTATCAAAATTTCGATTTTCAATTTTTCAAATTTTTGGGTTTTTAATTTTATAATTTTGCGTTTTTAAAATTTTGGCGTTGTTTCAGTTGATCAGTTTTTGATTTTTCAATTATGTGAATTTCATTGTTCTGATTTTTCAATTTTTTGATTTTTAATTATTCGATTTTGATTAATCAATTTCTGAATTTTTTATTTTCAATTATTCGAATTTCATTGTTTTTCGATTTCTTGATTTCGAAATTTTTTGATTCTTAAATTTTATTAGTGCTCTATTTTACAATTATCTGATTTTTAATTTTTATGATTTTAAAATTACCGATTTACAATTTTAAATTTTTACCATTTGTTAAATTTACGGTTTAATAATTTTTCGATTTTACATTTTACAACTTTAATATTCTGTTTTTTTTAAATTTGCCATTTTTTTAGTTGTTTTTTTATTTTTCAATTGTCCCAATTTGATTGTACTGATTTTCCAATTTTCTGATTTTTAATTTTTGAAAATTTCGATTTTCAATTTTATAGTTTTGAAATTATTCAATTTTGTCTATTTTACAAATGTCTGATTATTCAATTTTAAAATTATACGATTTTTCAGTTTGTAATTTTGAGTTTTCTATTTTTTAGTAATCGGATTTTCAAATTCTCAGATTTCTCAATTTTTGCATTTTTCGATTTCTCATGTTTTAAATTAATTTTTCGATTTTGTAATTTTCCAAATTTTCAATGTTTTGATTTTTAATTGTTCAAAATTTCAATTTTTCGAATTTTTCAGTTTGTGGTATCCTCCCTTGTTCGCGGCCCCACGTGAGGGCGACAGATTGTGGTAGCTCAGCGGTTTATTGATAATAAGCAAACAATACAAAGCAAAATATGGGTATGGGTTATCGAAGTGGTGGCAATTCTCGTCGGGGATGGTGGCGGCTCCTGGGACTCAGAGCGTCGTAGGGGATGACGGCGGCGATGTATGTAGCACAGGGCACCTGGACAGTGCGACCCTGGAGATGACGACGTCGGCGGTGCGGCACAGGAGACCTAGAGAATGCGACCCTGGAGATGACGACGTCGGCGATACGGCACAGGGGACCTAGAGAGTGCGACCCTGGAGATGACGACGTCGGCGATACGGCACAGGGGACCTAGAGAGTGCGACCCTGGAGATGACGACGTCGGCGATACGGCACAGGGGACCTAGAGAGTGCGACCCTGGAGATGACGACGTCGGCGATACGGCACAGGGGACCTAGAGAGTGCGACCCTGGAGATGACGACGTCGGCGATGCGGCACAGGGGACCTAGAGAGTGCGACCCTGGAGATGACGTCGTTGAA